CTGTCCAGCTGACCTCCACTGGACCTTCATCGCGTCTCCTTACTCCCTCCGCTTGGTCTCCACTGGATTTCACCTCTACGTGCCCTCAGCCATGTCCCTCCATCCCATTTTTGCTTGACTGCCTCCGTCCTACCACGTCCCTCCCGGCTCTGCCCACCCGGCTCTGCATCTATCCCCCCGACCTTTCCCCCCGGCTTTCCATAATCCTTCTCCCCTTCCTTCCCCGTCCTTCCTCCCTCCGCTTGATCTCCGCTAGACCCCCTCCATACCTCCTCCCCTCCTTCTGCCTGATCCCTTCTCTCTCCCACTTTCCGAGCTCCGTGACCTCCTCCCCCCGACTGCCAGACCTCTGTCCAACCTCCTTTCCCCCTCTGCTCCACCTCTGCGACCTCCTCCCTCCCTCCACCGGATCGTTCATCCCCTCCTTCTCCCTCCTCCCCCTGCAGGCTCCTCCCTCCCTCCTTTTGACCTCCGTGGCCTCCTTCCCTCCACCTGATCTCTGTCCAGCCTCACCTCCGCTCAACCTGTGCTCTCGCTCCGCCATGCCCATCCTTCCTCCCTCTGGGACCTCCTCCCTCCACCCGCTTGGTCTGTGCACGACCGCTGCCCTCCCCCCATTCGACCTTCGCTCAACGTCTTCCCTCCCACCGCCCAACCTCCATCTGTCATCCACCCTTTCTGTCTTCTCGAGCTCTTCCATCCACACTTCCCTCCCTCCTATCTCCCTCCGCCTGACCTCTTCTCTCCCTCTGCCCGGCTTTAACGGACCTCCTGCATCCTCTCCTCCAACTGGTCACTTTCCTTCCTCCCTCCAACGTACCTCTTCGTGCCTCCCGACCTCCTTCGGACCTCTGCGACCTCCTCCATCCCTCCTCCAGCACCGCCTCGTCATCCTTTGTCTTTCGGCCCCATGCTGCATTTGAGAGAGAGAGAGAGAGAGAGAGAGAGAGAGACATGCTCAGTCGAGCTATGTATGGGGAGCCAAGGATCTGCGAAGTGATGAAAAGGACTCAAATGGACAATGAATTGTCAGCAAAGCCTCAACAAGCAATGTACATCCAGATACATATGAAAATAGCACAATATAGCACAGCGGAAGACTCAAAGATATGACCTGACCTGTCAGAGACTGACGCGACACCCCACATACACCACACATGTGAGAGAGGGAGGAGGGACCGCATACATGGAAGAAAGTTCCTCCTCGAACACGCACATGGGGAGAGACACCACAGATGAGGAGATGGGGGAGAGGCGAGACGAAGATGGAGGTCAGGGAGAAAACCAAAATCGAGATAGCAAAGTCCTAAAATAGTCTCCCTGCCGAATGTCAAATCAATGTCTGCCACAAAATGTCGAATCAGATCCTGGTGCAAGGAAGATGAGCAATAGCGAACTTCAGCAAACAAACAGCATCATACACATGAGACCAGATAGTCGTGACCTCGAACCAATACCAGAATTGCATCACGAGTTTCACCAAATGAGAGCACACCAAAAGCTCATAATTGACAATGCTGGAATAGTCTCAACGTCATCAATGAAGAACCAATGTTGATATCCTATCTGGCGCTCGGCGCCCAGACTACAAATGGCAGATCCTATCTAGCCTAGACTACAATGCTGCTGATGACGTCAACAGCTTCCCAAGTACGAGCAGATCTCGGCCAATGCCGCACGCGTCACGCACCAGGTATGTCTCTCGTATCACTCACAACCTCGTTCCCCAACTCACAGATGCACCTCATCCAGCATACAGCAGCGCAGCTGGGCTATGGCTGCCTGATCCTTCCAGCTTGCCCGTGAGCACGTGAGCGCTGGCCAGTGGTAGCGCAGCAGTGCTTGCGCACAATGCTGCCAGTGCCCGAATGCCCAATGCGTAGGCAGGCCCTTCTCTATATCGAAGTGGCCTGCTGCTGCGTGCAATAATGTGGTACTGGGCCCTGGCCCAGAAGCTTCCGGTAGGCCCCGCGCGGCTGAGCCTCAGTCCGAAGTGATCAGGCCCAGGGCCTGTGGTGGTTACCAGCACCCAACTGCCCTCAGCCTTTGTTCGGTCCACTGTGTATCCGGCCCAGGGCCTGCCTCAGTTACATGCAATGAAAGGCAGCCTGGGCCTGGGCGCTTCCAACCAACTGGCGCTGAGCAACTGCCTGAATTTCCCCAGTTGCGTGGTGACCCCAAATTGGCCTGTAGGCCTCGGTCGTGCCTGCCTTCACTTAGGGCGGCCGATTGTGTGAGAAATGGGTCCTGTAGGGCATATCGAGGCCCTGTGCCTCGCACTGGGCTCCATGCCCGATGTACCTCTGCCTGTAATCTCTCTCTCTCTCTCTCTCTCTGAAGAAGAAGAAGAAAAAGGAGGAGGAGAAGGAGAGGGAAGGAGGAAAAAGGAGAGATGGAGGGCGAGAGCAAGAAGAAGAAGATGTTGTCCTCCTCGCTATCTCACCTGCAGGTAACTGCCGCCAGGTACTCACTGTTGCCGCGTGTCTCCTCTGTGCTGCAGGGCACTGGCGCGAAGACCAGCTATGGTACCCAGGTAAGATCTCCGCCGACGCAGGCATGGCCTCCGCCTCACTGCCTACCTACACCTCTATCACTAGCGTAGCGTTGTCGCACTGCTCCAGCAGCGTGTCGCCCAAGAGGTGAGTTACTCGAACTGTGTGTCTGCCCAGGCGTGGCCTGGCTAAAAGTAGCGCTGCACCTCGCGTGTGTGCCTCTGTGTGCCACTGGTCCTCGGCCAAAACGTGGCCTACTTGGTCTGGGTCCTGCCCGGACGTCCAGACCCTCCCTGCGGATGCAGCAGGGAGGTCCGCTGCTGGACGAACACGAACCTGGCCCACAAGGCCTGCCTACGTCTGTACCAGGCCAAAAACGTGGCCTTGTCCGAACCGACCGAAAGTCTGTTCGGACAAACTGCAAGTCCGAAACGATGCCTGAACAGAAATGTAGGACAGCAAATAAATAAATAAATAAATAAATAAACTGAGTACGGATCCTGGCCGCCCGGCCGACCACCGCCTGCCTGGGGGAGGTCCAAGGCAGGTTCCCCTCCTCAGTTCACAGAGAGAGAGAGAGCTATTTTGTGTTTTTATCTCCTTATTGGTTGATCTCCCGCTGTTTGAGCGTCTTTTCGGCAAGTTACATTGATTTGGCCCACACACACACACACACACACACACACACACACA